TATCGATTGAATCTATTAAGTTGCTAAAGTATTTAATTAAAACTTATTTAGTACCTAAAAGGATTATAAACGTAAAATATAAACACATAAATATTATAAATTAGTAAAATACCCTATATAGTTAAAATTTTATTTCAAAAAAAAAAAAACCTTAAACATTTATTGTCTTTGAAAAGTAAGCGCCAATCCATATATTGAATTTCATTTATAGGGATAAGGGTAATTATCTATAATATTTTTTTACTTGTCTTCTACAATAGAAACGTACTTGCCTTAATATCTAATATTATATGTTAGATTTCGTTTATAATTTCTAATTGATTGTTTTTAAATTTTTCGCTAAGTTCTTTTTATTATTGAATTAATATATTATTTTGTTCTATTACTATTTGTAGAAAAGTGTTATTATTTAAACTATCCAATTCTACTTTTTCAGTATATCTAATGAGAGGGTAATTTATGTGAAAATTGGGCCGAGCTGGGTAATGGGCCGTTATGAGCCACAGTACAAAGGGCCGAGTAAAAGGGCCACGTAAGTCACTCCGGTCGTATGAATACTCCGAAGTTAGTCCAGTCCTAAGACTGCAAAGCTAGTCCGGTTCGACGTAATAACGAAGTTAGATCGGTCTAACGGTACCTTTGAGTTAGACCGGTCTTGGAGTTATACCGGTCACGATTTGTTAGTTCGGTCTAACCATGCCATGTGTTGTGCATGAGAAGCTGACGTAAGAGGAGTAAAAGGAAGAACTAGTTCGGCTTATTCTACGGCTATGCATAGTCGTGTTTACTTTGATCGAATTAGAGTTCGGCCATGATAGAACCATCTCACTTGGTTTAAGCAGTGAGGGGTGTGTTAAAGGATAAGCATTATCTTTCAGGAGTATGAATCCTAAGAGGACTCTGCATGGAGGAATAGAAGTCCTACTAGGATTGTGCCACACAAAACCTATAAAAGCTCACAAACATCACCTTGGGAGAGGTAACACACAATTTTGCTTTCTGAATACACACAGCTTTTGTCTATTTGTCAAGCTTACTGACTTAGGCATCGGAGAGGTTTCCGGCACACACCCGCCGGCTCGCTCACATTTGTGTTTTCTAGTGATAAAGCGACGTCGTACGGAGGAGCACAGTCTTGATCAACAGGATTATACGATAAAGTTTATTTCTTTCTCGTACATCTAATATTCATATAATCTATTGGTAAGAGAAAACAACCAAACTATAATATTAATTTAAACACACAACAAAACAAAATATCTTTTAAAGACAAAATAAAAATTTAAAAGATTTTTCTATAATAAAATCTTAATTGGAGAGGGTTTTTTTTTTTTTTTTACTAATTTATAATATGTATGGACATATATTTTATTTTTGTAATCCTTTTAGAGACTAAATAGGTTTGAATTAAATATTTTAGAGACTTAATAGATTCAATCGATAGTTTAGGAATGATGGGGGTGTTTTGAAAGATGGTTAAAAGTTAACTTTTTAATTTTTATGACTTTTTAAACTTTTTTATATAAGAGATAATATGATCCAAATACATTAAAAACGAACTTTTAACTTTTTTATGATGTTGCCGAACGATCCCGATATATTGTTTCTCCAACGTAGACAATGGGTGGTGCTTTGTCTTGTACAACAGTCAGTCACTGTTTAATTTAATTCCTTCATTTTTTAAAATATATTGAATAGATTATACTTATAAAACACTTTTACCAAATTATATTTATATTTAAAAATATAAATCATAAATATAATTTTAAATATAAAACTGAATATAAATGTTATTTAATTAACCGACCCAATATATCCTAAAAAATAATAATTTAAATTATCATGGAGTGTCTCCTTCAAACGAATAAACATTAGAAACCCAAGGTAGCTATATCCTACATAAATCCGAGAAGTTTCCAGCATTATTATTTGTAAAACAATAATTTTAAAAATAAAAAAAAAAAAGAAAAGAAAAGAAGAAGAGAGTTTGATTCTTATAATAAAATAAATTTTGAACTCTTAATTTTATCAATTCCAATCACAATATTTTGTATTGTTTTTTATGTAAATCATTTGTTAAGTAAAATTAACAGAAAAAATATTTTAGTCGTTAGATTCTGAGTTTTTTTCTTCTTCTTCTTTTTTATTTTTTTTATTTTTTTTTTTTTTGTAGTTTTCTCATAATTTTAAGATCTTGTCAACAAAGTTAAAGTTTGAGTCTTATAACAAAATAAATCTTAAATTTTTTATTTTGGTATTTTAAATCAATTTTTTTTTATATTTGTTTTCAATTTAAACTATTTGTCTATGGAAAAATATTTTAGTCATTAAATTCAATATAAGTATATATGAAATGTCTAAAATATCATTTTTACTGAGTTTTGTTAGGTTTTTGTAATTGACAATCCCCGTTTGATAAAACTTCTTTCAATTGTAATTTTATTCACTCTTATGTTTCAGTAAGGATGTGAGTATTTAGATGCGAATCCAACTCGAAGTGTGCTTATGTAGAGGAGTTTGTGATCTTAAGGCTTTCTTGTTTGTCACTTTATTAACTATGTACGGGGATTGAGCTGAAGTGTTTTGACCGTTCGAGCGGTCATTTATGCGCTTGAGCGGTGAATGGCATCATCCAGTACTTTTGTAGAGTGTCCGAACTTCTAAGAAGAAATTTTTACCGCTCGAGCGGTGAAAGTTGCGCTTGAGCAGTTGGCTTATATGTTTTGCCCTGTTTTTACTCACACCGCTAGAGCGGTGAAGTGTGCGCTCAGGCAGTCTTCACAATTCAGTTTACTATAAAGTGCGCTGTTAAGTTTTTGTTATTGGTAATCCCGTTTGACAAAACTCTTTTCAGTTATAATTTTATTCTATCTTTTATTTCAGTGAGGTTATGAGTTTTTAGATGTAAATCCAACTCGAATTGTGCCTATGCAGAGGAGTTTGTGATCTTAATCATATCATGTTTGCCACTTCGCTGACTATGTCAGGGATCAAAGTTGCTTGTCTGCTCGAGTGGCCATTTGTGCGCTCGAGCGAAGAATCTTTGATTCCAGAAGTTTGAATTGTCTGCAAAAATACTGGGAGTTGCGTGTTTGCACTCGAGTATCACTTCCTGCACTCGAGCGTAGATCCTTGTTCTGAAACATGTGTTTTAGTCAGTCCGCTTGAGCTGCCATTCTTGCGCTTGAGTAGAGATCGCAATTCTGTTTTCTATAAATTGGCAATTTATTCAATTTCTAGGGTACGGCTTCCAGATCTTTTTCTTGGATATTAGGATTTTCAACCTGGAGCTTCTTGCTAGTTCCTTTGATGTTTGTTTGAGTTTAACTCATGGTTTGAGAAGTATACATCAAAGAATTGTTTGTTTCATTCAATATAAAAGAGAGAGTTGTTCTTTGATGAATTTCGGGGAATTTGGGCCTGAAGCTTTGGTGGATTCCGAAGTGGCTCGTCGTCGTGATTCGGCATCGGCGTTGTGGATTCAACGTTGGGCAAGACAATTTCGAGGTGAAGACGGGCTAGAAGAGGCATATAGGGTTCAGTTTGATTTGGGCGTAGATTTGCTAGGTAATTGAGAGTACACTTGTGTAATTCCTTTATGTCTTTTTAGTGGATTGTTTTGTGACTTTTACTCGTGGTTCACAATTGGAGGCGCTCCAATTATGGTTTTTCCATGTAAAATTGTAGTGTCAATTTCTCTTTGATTGTTTGATTAGGATTTCTATTTACTGGTTAAAATGATACATAATCACAAATCAATATCTAGGGGATTTCTAGATTTTTCATGCTCAGTTTGTTGTTTTTAGGGTTTAAACTGTCCAGAATCTTAGAGAGAAAGAAAAGCCAAAGTGTTTTCTATTAGAGATTGTTTTATATAAGTTTCCTTGATGTATAGAAGGTGATCGATTGATCAACGAACTACATATTGTCAAACATCAAAAGTTGTTCTTATTGTTTCGTTCATAAAAGAGAGAATTGTTCTTCGGTGGATTCTAGGGAACTTGGGCCTGAAGTTTTGGTGGATTTCGGAGTGGCTCATCCTTGTGAATTCAACATAGGCGTTGTGGATTCAACATTGGGTAAGACAATTCCGAGGTGAAAATGGTGGTGGAAGAGGCACATTGGGTTTGGTTCAATTTGAGTGTAGATTCGCTAGATAATTGAGAATACTCTCGTGTAATTCCTTTATGTATTTTTATTGTTTTGTGGCTTTGGCTCATGATTTTTTATCACAATTAGAGGCGCTCCAATTGTGGTTATTTTCACGTTAAATTGCTATGTCGATTTGTCTTGATTGTGATTGTTATTTATTGTTTTAAATTGAAACATAATCACAAATCAATATCTCAGAATTTTTAGATTCTTCAAGTTTAATAATTACAATACTCATTTTTTTTTTTATCGATTTTACTTCACAAAAATAGGCAAATAGTTTACATTGAAAACAAATTAAAAGTTTAGAATTTAAATTGATAAAATTAAAAATTCAGAATTTATTTTGTGGTAAGGCTCAAACCTTAATTTTTTTTTATTTTTTTGTAATTTCTTAATTTTTTTTTAAAACAAAAATATCCATTCATATGATTACTAATAATTGTTTTTATAAAAATAATTTTCTTAACATGTCCAATAAAATGAAGAATTCAAATTATTAAAATAAGTCGAAAGTGGAGTCGGGCAGAACACTCATTAGAAGAGTGACCACTCATTTAGATACGTCTTTCGAAAGAGTAATACTACCATTGAGGGATGGCAATTTGAACTCGAGCCGATGGTGACCCGCCTCCCGTCCCTGATTAGAACAGGTTTTTCTCGAAAAATACTCCCGACGGGCTGGGGGTGTTATTCGAAATTGAATCCCTGATAAATTTTGGGCCAGGGACGGTGATATATTCCCCAGTCTCGGGCCCAAGCCACGTCCCAGTTTCCCCGACATAAAATTACTATTATACCCTCCATATATATATATATATATATAAAGCAAACCAAACCCTAAAACACAACTCACTCACACTCACACCGCCTCTCATCTCTCTCTCTAAAAGCCTCATCACCGCCGATCTCGCTCCCTCCGCCGTCCTCCTCTCCCTCCTCCTCCACTGTCCTCCTTTCCCTTCTCTCATCACCGCCGATTTCCCTCTTCCTCTGCTGTTTTTGGCGAGAGAGAACTGTGGTTAGGATTTCTGATCTCAGCCACAACAAGTACTCAGATCTGCAATGAGCGAGGCCATAACAAGGCGTCGCTGCTGGTGAACAAGGTATCTCTAAAGTAATCAATTTATTTCCCCAAATACCCATCTCTAAAATCTCATCTTTTATGCTTATGTCTATTGTTTGTTTGTTTTTTGTTTTTTACTCAGTTGAGTTCGATGCCCTAGACAACAGAGGTCTCTAACCTCAAACCAGTCATTCGTTCCATTTCCATCCCCCGTTAGGTAAATTTCCCAATTTTCAATCTGGAAATTTGTACAAAAATATTTTTGGATTTTTTTTGGAATCACTGGTGAGTATAAACAATGGATGTGTTTCTGTGTGTTGATTGGAATCACTGATTATTAATCACTAATTTCTCAATTTTTTTCTTATTTTTTTTTTTTCATTTTGTCGTGGATACACATAAACTGAGTCCCAAAATGTGTGTTGATGATCTCAATGTGTGTTGATAATCTCTATTTGGTTCCCAAAATGGAGAATCTTGAATCCATTATTTATTTATTTATTTCATTTTGTCAAGGATACACATAAACTGAGTCCAATTCAGAAGAGATACAGTTTAATTTCACTAGTCTCTGCCACTGTTCTTCTAAAGTTTTGATTTTTAGGATGTGTTTGGATCATGGATTTAGTATCTGCCACTGTTCTTCTACTGTTGTTACTTATCATTTTAGTACTACTAGCTTTCAAGTTGTGTTTGTTTCATTGGACTAGATTACATGAGAGACTATTAAGCTTGGGATTAATAATTCTGGAATTACACAATCTTATCCTATTTCACGTTTGTTTGGAATCACTGATTAGTATAAACAATGGATGTGCTTGGAATCACTAATGCTACCTCTGTTTATTTATTTCATGTTATTTTTATAAAGGTAAAAAATGTTAGATATTAACTCTCAAGTACCAGTTGAGAGCGAGGCCTCAAAACAATCATCACCAGCTACCAACTTACCGTCTCCCCTCTTTAATCAAAATGTAATTGATTTAGAAGAAGAGTCTAATACTTGTGGAGGAACTAAAAGAAAACCTAGTGTTGTGTGGGAACACTTTAAGAAACAACAAGTCAATGGGGTGTGGAAGGCAATATGTAATTATTGTAATAAGCATATTGGAGGTGATTCAAAAAATGGAACTAGACACTTGCATGATCACTATAAGAGTTGTACTAAGAAAAAAGTGATGGACATGTGGCAAAAAGTTTTAACTAAAAACTTTAATAGAGAGAGTCCAAAAATGAATTCTTATATTTTTGGTTGGTCAAGATTTTGCCAGGAAAGAGTTGTCACATGCCATAATATTGCATGACTATCTCCTCTGTATCGTAGATTATGTTGGTTTTAAACGATATTCAGCGGCACTCCAACCATTGTTTAAGTACCTTCTCAAAATACGATAAAGAGTGATATTTTAAAGATTTATGATGTTGAGAGGGTGAAGATATTGAGTTTGGTGGAGAATAATAAAAATAGGGTGGCAATCACAACTAATATATGGACTGCTAGTAATCAAAAGAAAGGATTCATTGTTGTCACAACACACTTTATTGATGATTCATGTACATTGCAATGTCGCATTTTAAGGTATATATTTGTAAATGTGCAAATCATTTAAAAGTTATACCTTATTCCGTTCAATTTGCATGTTATTAATAATTGTTCGTGAATATTGTATTTTAGGTTCATTTATGTTCCATGTCCACAAACAAAAGAAGTTCTTTGTGATACTTTGCATGATTGTATGATGGATTGGAATATTGACAGAAAAATCTTTACTATTACTGTTGATAATTGCTCCACAAATGATTCCATGATTACCATGTTGATGGATAAGTTGAGTAATCCATCACTTTTGTTGAGTGGTACTTTGTTTCATATGCGTTGTTGTACGCATATTTTGTATTTGATTGTCAAAGATGGACTGGATGTCATACGAGTGGGTATAGAGAAAATTCGGGAGAGTGTAGCTTATTGGACAGCAACACCTAAAAGACAAGAAAAATTTAAAGAAACAGTCAATCAATTGCGTAATCCACATACTAAGAAATTAGGTCTTGATTGTGCAACTAGGTGGAATTTAACATACTTGATGCTTCAAACTACCTTATTTTATAAGAATGTCTTTTCTCGGTTGAAAAATAGAGAGCCCAAATATAAGACCGTACCAAGTGAGGAAGAATGGGAGTTTGCTAGAGAGATTAATGGGAGGTTTAAGATATTTTTTTCTATCAGAGAGTTATTTTCTGGTACTAAGTATCTCACAGCCAATGTTTGTTTCCCAGCCAATGTTTGTGAAATTGAAGTGATTAGAACAATGGTATAAAAAATGGTGGAAAAAATTGATAAATATTGATACATGGTGTTATTGGAGTTGCTGTTGTACTTGATCCTAGGTACAAGACGAGTGTATTCGAGTTTTGTTTTGAAAAACTTTATGGAGACAAAGCTGAAGAGGAAATTGATACAGTTTGTCAAATTTGTTATGATTTGTTGCACGAGTATCAGAATCGAGTTGGTATGGAGATCGATGTTGTTAGTGAATCTTCTATCCATCTAGAAATTGTTTGAGAGACCCTTTCAGAGTATGATATGTTTACTAGTAGAAAGAGAAGTAAAAAAAATGAAGAATGTATGATCAAGGTTGACCATTATCTAGAAGATGATGTTTTGCCAAGAACTTCAGATTTTGATGTTTTGAATTGGTGGAAAGCCAATGGACCAAAGTATCCGACCTTACAGGCAATAACTAGGGATATTTTAGCTATTCTTGTATCCACCGTTGCTTTTGAGTCAACATTTAGCACTAGTGGAAGGTTGGCGAGTCCACATCGCAGTAGACTTCATCAATCACATTAGAAGTATTAATGTGTGCACAAAGTTGGTTGTGGGCTGCAGAGATGAAAGGTACTCAAGTAAATTTACATATTATTATTTCAATTTTATATTGCCAGGCCAAGTTTGGGAAGTTGCCAAAAAGTCAAAAAGCTAAAAAGTTACTCAAAAAGTTACTCAAAAAGTTAAAAAGTTATCACTATTCACCAAAAGTAAAAAATTACGGCTGCATAACTCATAATTTTTCCCTGCATATTAATTTATATAATTTAATACATATTTTTTCATAAAAAGTCAAAAAGTTAACCCAAACAACCATATTTTTTCCTCAACTTTTTAGTTCAAAAAGACAAAAAGTGCACTTATTTAGGACACCTCAAATAACCCCTTAATTTATATTCTTTACTTCTTAGGAAATTCAACATTGGAATCAGTGGGCTATACATATGATGATGATGAGTTTGACTCGGATGACTCATGTGGCACTTTTGTGTAAGTTGCCATCCATCTTTTTTGTTTTAATTGTTTTTTTGTACATCTTATTATTAGTATTGATTTTTTTTCCCCTTTTGTTATTTAACAGGAATTCAAGTTGAAGGAGACGATGACAGTTGTGGTTATATCAAATTTTTGGAGAAACAATGTTGTTTTATTGTTGTCATATTGATGTTATATGTTTTATTTGAACAACTATTGTTTCATGTTGTAATAGACTAATGGTACTATTTTTATTTTTTTTTGGTTTTTGGTTGGACATTTGATATATTATGTTGCATGGATTATTTTGAGGGATTTATTGGTTGTGGGTTGAGAGATGAGAGTTCTATATTGTTTAAGTGTTTTTTTGGTTATTTCTCCTATATTTTCTTTTGTGCTCAGTTACAGGTCTTATGCTATTGGTTGTGCTGTTAATTGTCCTATATATGTTGCATGAATTATTGATTCTTTTGTTACAGGCCTTATGCTATTATGTTGCTCATGTCTAGGTTGAGTGTGAGATGACCCTTTGTGCTGTTGCTACTCTATCTTGTGCTGTTATGCTGCATATTTGTTTGAATGTTTATGTTTAGACATTGTTGCATTATGCTTTTATATGTATTATTTTTATTTGCCTCTCATAAATAAATAAATAAATAAAATGAGATATGCAAAATTCAAAAAAAAAAAAAATGGTTGGGGATTTTTTGGGTCGAGGAAATCCGATCCCCATTAGGGGCGGGGGCGGGGAGGGGGGTGGAGATAAGTTCCCCGTCGGGGATCGGGGCCGGGGGGATTTTCACCATCGGGGATGGGGAGTGTGATCCCCAGCCCCGTCCCGCCCCGCCCCGTTGCCATTCCTACATAATTGTGGTGACAACTGTGGTGATAGTGGTAGGAAAATGATGGTAGCGATAGTGACAATATTAATGTTGGTGGTAGGGTGTTAGTATTAGTAAGATTTTAATCCAAAATGTATTTTTATACTTTTTAGAAATAGAAAATGCTTTTTGTTTAAGTAAATTTTATTTTTCATTGATTAGGGGAATTATTTTTTGAAAAACGCTTTCCAAATTAAATGGAGTGTAAGATTCGACCCTAAGAAAGAAACATATAGCTTCATTGTCATCTTGTAATAATCTCAACTGGGCTGCTACAACAGGAGGAATATACTTCTATATATACCCCTCCCTCTCTAAAGGAAGCACCTTCTTGTTACTTGATGTTTGGAAATGAGTAATGAAAATTCAAGTTACCAAATGTTCAAAACGACTTATCCAATGTGTGTGGTTGTAGGGGGGAAACCGAATGAGTCGTCACGGCATCAAAGTCATTTTCTACTCCTTCAACATAACAAAATGCAAAGCTGGCAATGTGCATCAGGCTTTGATATAAACGAAAATTCAACATTCACATCTGCTAATTCAATGCATCATTTGACTAGGAACGTACAGGCCGACCCTGAGTTTTCAGGGGCTTAAGGCGAAATCAAAAAAAGAGGCCTATATTCATAAATAAATAAATAAATAAACACCCTGTTTGATATCACTACCGGTGATTGATACTAAAATATATATCAACATGTATTCATTTTAGAGTACAAACCAAAAAAAAATTACCATAAGGTATAGTTCAAATCAACAAAACAAATTAATTAATTAACAAATTTAATTAATGAAATGTTCTGGTAGTGTGAAGCAAACAAATCTACTTGTTTCTTGCTACCAAAATATTTATCAAGTGCTTCCGATTGAGATTGAATTAATTATTCTACTTTCAACTTCTTCTTTCTTTTTTTATTTCAAGAACTATACTTACTAGGAAACATAACTATAATCACAATTCAATTCACAAATCACAATGCACTGATTATTTCATATCTGATAGTAAAGAAAATATAAAAAAATAATTTAATCAAACAAAACTAGGGCAAAAAAATTAGGTAAAAATTATTTAGACTAGTAATGTATTATAGCTATATTATAGAATTTAAATTTGCCCAATTATTTTGTCTATTTGGGCCAATTCAAAAGCCCAAAAATATTCTATTGACCATTTTATTTATAAGTGTGATTTGCTCATTAAAATTAAATATCCTACAGAAAAGTGTTGATGGGCAAGGGAGAAGATATACATAACTCTCAATCTTCTCTCTCTCACACAAAGTGACGAGAAGGAAGATACCACGCATAAGAAGAGCAATAAGCCATGGTAGAATTGATTGAAAAATATCAACCGGCAGCGACTTTCACTCACTCTCTCTCACATTCGAAGCCCCTCTTCTCTCCCTCTCCCTCTTACTATTACGATTTTAATGAAATAATAAATTTATCTTAATTTTTTTTCTCCTCTTTCTTTATCGATTTTCAGTGGAATAATAATTTGTCCTAATTTTTTACCTTACTTTCTTTATCAATTTTAGTGATACAATATTGGGTAACTTTACTAATTAGGTGCTAATAGTTGACTTAATTTGCCCATCAAGTCCTATTTAAAAAATAAGTGCTTAGTAAATTGTCACTAAAAATAATTTTTTTCTGTTGACATTTTTGTATGTTCGCTAAATTATTTGACAATTATGACTTTTCTGTCATGATTTTTTATAAATTGTCGGCTAAACTTACAATTAGTTGAACATTTATTTTTATTGACAATTTTTTTATAGGACTAGTTAGACAATATCTCACTTATTAAGACCCTACTCATAAATCACT